CAACTCAATGAACATTATGGTGATAAATTAAAATGTTCATGTTCATTGATTGCATTAGCATATGATCAATTTGTCAAAATTCAACCACGATTTCATGAGGTAAGAGTCGATTATTCTAACCGGCTGAAAATGAAAGGTTGCACACTGTTATAGTTTCGTCTTTAAATTTTTGAAAGATAATCAACAATGAAGCTCATCTTCTTTCTCTTTTTCGTTATTACTTATAGATATGTTCAAGTCCATTTGCTTCGGATCAGTGGCGAAGAAATCTCACAGCTGGTCTTGTTCCTAATCTTACTGAATACGAACAAAGAGATTATCGTCGTTTTCTCTCTGCTCATTTACAATTTCTTACTAGATTATGTCAGCTTTCCATGGACTTAGTGAACGATGCTGTGAATCAACTCAATTCTTCACTACTTGTCACTACTCAACTTCTGTCGGAAACAGGTTTTAATGAAAGCATTGATTTGTTGATTACCCAGAGTAGATCAGTTGTCCCTACAAATTTTGCTCGTATCTTTTTCTTAACGCGAAGTATAAATGATGGAAATGCTATTATATCAAGCTATGGAACGAATTTCGAATATGTTTTATCTTCGCTTATTTCCTACTCTTATCTTACGACTAAACCTATAATCTATGACAATGAATGTTCCTGTGGATTGTATTCAAATTGCACCAGTCAAGCAAGTTTTATCGGAAGCAATTCCTCTGACACCATTCTCATTCAAGGTTTGAAGATAGGCTGCACACCAAGTGAATCTTTTCGCTTGTCGACTCTCGAATGTTTCTATAATCAATCATGCATTAATCTTATTCAACAATATACTAATTATACAAGCAATATTAATTCGGCAAGCTCTCCTATTTCTCTTTCGGCAAATATGAGTCGATTCTCTATAAACACCAGCATAGCCGAACTTATAAATGAAATGTTCATTGAGCAATGGATAACAACAATTAATTATTCATCTTATTATCAACAATGTTCACCCTTACAGTGTTCGTATACCTACAGCCAACAATTTAACCTATTGTATACAATAACCCTGCTGCTTGGTCTTCAAGGTGGTCTCACGATTGTTCTCAAATGGATTTGTCCTAAAATAGTTCGAATTGTAGATAAGGTATATCAACATCGAAAGAAACGCACGAACATTGTTCAACCTATCAGTTCCCTTGAAGTCACGGTCGCTGATCATATTCAAACAGACATCGTCAATCCTACTAATGATGAACAATCAACTTCAATGAGTAAAACATCTCAGTACGTTGTCTTTGTTTTCATTTGATTTATAATCTATAATTCTCTTCATTAGAATAAGGTTGATTTCATCTGTCCAATGTTTTTTGAAAATCGGCTTAGGATGTATACTGTTGTTGTTTCTAATAATGGCTCTTACCATATACTCTATTTATATCGCTCGGCAAGGAAAGAGCGAAGTCGTACTAACAAGTAAGATTCTTTTATAATTGCTTCTCTGAACGTCGCAACATTCGATCCATAAGCTGATATAACGACGAATATTTCAGCATAATTTTAGTTTTAGCATTACTCTAAGATGTATATGATTCAGATATACAACGAAGGTGTGGGGCAAAATGCGGATGAGGAGGGTTTATCTGAAAATAATTCTGAAACTATATTCATTCCTAAAAATAGGTACTATTTTTTCTTTCTTAATGTCTATTTATATTCGAATTCGGCTTAGGCAGCTACTCACTGTGGGCATTGTATTCAGTATATAGTAAGTTTTCATCAATTTCTCTTAATGAACTATTCTGATCGTATGAAAGAAACATTGACTGTGTTTGGGTTATACTCTTGCTTAGAATGTCCTTTATATCTACATTTTTTGTATACATCATATATGTCTTTATTAGAATCCTCGACAGCTGCGATAATCAGTACCAGTACACAGACAACTACAACAACAACAAGTACGACAACAACCAGTTCAACTGAAATGAGTCAGTATATTTTAACTATTTCTATTTTCTAATATATAGTCTTTTGAATAAGTTAAAAATAGAAGTGATCAATTCCTGATATGTTACTTTTGGAAAGACTATATTCTTTTAGTTCTAATTGATCGAACAAACCTTTTCATTCTAGAACTGAATTAACACATTAAGCATTTTCGATCACAGGAGACACAGAGAGAGGCTTCCACTCCCACAAATTCGAATTTTCTGTCAGAATTTTTGATAATACTTTCTACGAACTTTTATAGATCAATTCAGCAGAAAATTTCGTTGTTTGTCGAAATAAAATCAAACTGACAATACTTTTTAGTAAATACCTTGTAGAAAATCGTGTGTGAGTGTGAAATATGATGAACTCTGGCACCCACAACCGTACCCTTTGTCTCATGAATTCTTTTCCAATTATTGTAAAACTAAGCTCCAATGATTACTCCGTGACTTTAATTCTTTTCAGTACCCACGTGTCAGTTGGAATTTCGACGAATAGTAATATATGATGGGAATTGGTCTAACCCTGTATCACGAATATCACCCATTGTTGCTGATTTCAACAATGACAGTCGACTCGATCTCGTTTTTCTCTCTACAAATCCCAATGCTGTGAATGTATTTCTTGGAAATGGGAACGGAAATTTTATAGTACAGTGGGTGTTACTACAAGGAAGTCTTAATATTTTGAGTAGCATTACTTCTGGTGATTTAAACAATGATAAGATACTTGATCTCGCTTTTGTCGATCAATATGCAAACACTGTGAATATTGTGTTCGGAAAGGGGGATGGAAGCTTTGGATCAGTAAAGAGTTTATCACTAGGAAATGATAGTTTTTTGCAAGGAATTACTGTAGCTGATTTGAATGGTGACACTTACTTAGATATTGCTGTTGCTAACAGCTACCAAAATAATGTTCGTGTGTTTTTTGGGGATGGTAAACAAACTTTTATAGCACAAATGACATTATATAGTGGACGTAGCAGTTATCCGAATGCGATCGCTGTCGCAGACTTTAACAGTGATGGTTACAAAGATATTGCTGTTCTCAATTATTATGGTAGAAATGTTGGTATATTTCTTGGGTACGGTAATGGATCTTTTCAAGCGCAGCAGATGTCTTTCACCGGTAGTTTTTACCATCCAACTGATTTTAAGGTTGGCGATTTCAACAGTGATGGTCGACTCGACGTCGCTGTATCATATAATACTAATGGTTGGATAAGTGTATTATTTGGATTTGATAATGGTACTTTGGGTTCGACAGCAAAGCTTGTCCTAGGAAACTATTCATCATTAACAGAAGTTGGCGTCGGTGATTTTAATGGTGATGGTTACCTAGACATTAGTGTTGGTACGGGTGGTTCGTCGATAGCTATCTTAGTTGGGAATGGCAATGGGGATTTTGAGCAGCAAGTAATAGTGACGCTTGAAGACGATGGTTATTACATATCATCTATTGCTGGTGACTTTAATGGTGATGGTTATCAAGACATAGTTGCTATGGACCAAAAGTATGGATTTTTATATTTGCTCTTGAATACAGGTCAATGCTATCCAAACAAAACTCTCGAGACAAGCACATTCATCCACCAATGAGTTTTGTGAAATTTTCTCTTGACTTATTTATATCGCATAATTATCCTCAAAAAACATTTGCTATTAAGAAAAAAATATTATAAAAACGATATCTGCTTATCTCAAATTAGTTAGAAAGCTTTGCTTAATTATTTCTACAATAATGTTCTATTTTTCATGTCGCAAGTACTTTGTAGAAGAACAAGATAAAGATGATGAGAGGGTATCTAACTTTATGAACTCTTCTGTATTCTTTTCTTTTTTCTCTCGCTTATTGTGTTTGTTATGTTACTTAGTTGTTCAAGTGCTTTTTTTATCGCTTGTGTGCTACTAATCTTAAATCATATAACCACTTTCAAACGTGTTTAGAACTCTAAATAAAATATCAATCTAAAACAACCAAGAATCTTAGTCACATACATATTTTAGGCAAATCAATGGAAAAAATGAGTAACCAACTCATTGGCACAACTTGTAGAATACAAAGAATTTCTTGAGGGTGTGGGTGTGGGTGTGGGTGGATATTCATGAACAAAGGCATCGCAATCACACCCACACGCATCCACACCTACACCTTCAAAGGAATAAATGACCACTTTTAAGTGTTTTTAATATCAATTAAGCAAAATAAAATCATTATCCCCACTGTTTGTCACTTTAAAAAGTACTTTCTCGTACTATTTCTACTTTAATAAGTACTTAATAGTACCTTTTAGCTGAAAAGAGTGAGGGTGTGGGTATAAGATAATTCACATCAAGTACCCCCATACCATTTCGTTCACATCAAAAATTTAATTTTGACGACAAAGCTCTTTCACATCACTGAACTGCTACTATGGAAATACTTCAAAATCTGTTAAACTTATTATCTTTCATCCAAGATAGACTGACGTATGCAAGAAAACACATTAAAAAATATAGCGCAGTTATTCGGCGACGTTTTATGAGAAATTAGATGATCTAGCAACATAGTTTTGATCACATTTTAAATCACCAAACATGGTGGAACATCATTTTTCTGTGAGCTATCAGCTTACAAGGATTATTGTGCAAACAGTTTGACAACCTGTCGAGATAATGTCAACTACTACATTATGAATAATAATCAACACATAACAAGGAGAGAGAGCGGATTGCTTTCATGATTTTTATGGCACATGAAGGTTAACAAAAAGGAAAATAGTACCAGAAAACGTAAAGTTTGGCACGGTAAGGTTGTATGAGTTTTGTCATCGTTAACAATTGTCTGTTACTCTTACTTCTCGATCTTCTATCTTGATATAATTACGAGACGTTTTTGATCTGTTCAATATTGAAATATCTTTATAATGTTAAGTTAGCAGACAAGGGAAAAGATATCTTTTTTAGATAAAAAGGCGAAATAACAAGAGTCATTGTAAATTATCTCAAAATGGGTTGCTGTGAGAGCTCTTCAGACAACGGTTTATCAACTTCGTACAATTTAAATGCATCCTCTCCTCTTACACCCGATGAAACAAGACTGTTCAAACAAATTCTAAAGGAAATACCTCTTCATTGTCAACAGGCTATCATTGATTTACCACGGCGTCAATTTCTTGATATATATATCGATATAAAATAATAGCTAGTTATCATTTGAGACGAATGGAATTTCAGCTTGCACTTCTCTATGAAAGTAAAGCAATAAATGGTTTACAAGTTCTGTTGCTCGAGCACAAAGATCATTTCATCTTTATTGATATGTACAGTACACTTGCTACATGTTTATCAGTAATCGGTGAAGTGTCGGCAGCTATAGAAGCAAACCAAATGGCTCTAGATATGCTACTAAAACATTCACCTACGAATTATCAAACAATCAGCTGGAAATATTTCGGTTTGGCTTCCTGCTATTTGGAAGGCAAAGCATGGGGTCAAGCTATACTACATTTCAGAAAAGCCGTTGAAACAGCACGATCAAGCAATGAGCCAAATCAGGAAGATATTCAGATGATGGAGTTTACGCTTCATTTGTTGACGTAAGTAGATTGGTAGATGAAAGAACGAGTGCAATAACTAAGTTTTACTACTAGATAATCAAAATCTATGAAATTTAGTTCCCGATAGTTTTAGAGAGATTGTGAGGCTTTTATAAAGAGAAAGAAAATCCAAACATAGCATGGTTTAGAATTGTTTTCAATAAATTTCTATATT